TTCATTTCAAAATGCATCCTTATTTACTGAGGTTTTACATTAACTTAAATTATTTGGACAATTTAAATAATGTATAAACAAAACTGTATACCAAACTTTTAACTACAGCTAAGTAATTTTGTAGCGCCAACAGGAAATTTAGTGAGGTTGATAACCACTAAATATAAAGCTCGGTTCTGCTCATATTCTCTGTAGGAAAACACGTTTGCAAGGAACTGAGCGAATATACATATAGGGCTAACAAAGCATCCGCTTGCATGATTGATTGTCTGAGTGACTGATGACCTCGTGCTTGACGATGTGGCATCCTGAGTGATTAGGTACGTTGTTTATCTTTCCTTTAACGTAATTAGTAACGGATCATAATTTATTGCGTCTGAAGGAAGGAAGTCGTCTCTGATAAATTCCCGATTTGTTTAACTTAATTGCAATTAAGATTTAAATTGTAAATTTAAAAGCCATTATTAAATAAAAACTGAATAAGACAAATTTTTTCCTTTTGCATAATTTATTTGATTTCAGACTGTAAAAATATCCATTCATCTTGGATAGGGTCATTAGGTTTGTTTAAAGCAGGGTACATGAAAAATGCATAATGCCTTCGCCGGGATTCGAACCTGGATCTCTCGAATAAGCTCCGAGTGGGTTACCGTTACATCACGAAGGCATGCTAGAAAGAGGGAGAAAATACCTTGCTTTCCAAATGAGTTGTTTAATTTATACAGGAAATCTTATTAAGTAATGACTCATTCATTACACTTATAGATCTCTTAACATCTGAAAGCACAGGCTGCTCTCAAATTACGTTAAATTACGCTCTTAAATTTAGAATGTATCTTGAAATATGCAAGACATTTGAATTTCTTCACTTTATCAAAATTGTTAATGCAACTGAAGCTTGGCAAATTTAAAAAAAAAAAAAAAAAAATTGAAAGTTTCCAGATTTTATAATGTTTTCATTTACACCCGCATACACGTTTCAATAGCTTTTGAGTTAATGTCTCTTTGGGTTAAAAATATTTAAAAACAGAACATTTTTAGAAATTTCCGATAGACAGTCCGGCCCGCTGGAGATAAAAATGTTCTGTTTTCCATACAATGCTGCCACTGCTCGCTTTGAAATCGTTGACTTTCTCAATCAAAAATTCGGTTAAAGTTTTACAAAATATGAAATGGACAATTAAACAAATTCCAAATTCGGGCTTCCAGGTGCTCATATTCGGGCGCAGGAGTACGTTATTCAAAATCTACAGTTGTCTTTACACATTGCGAGAAATATATATACATTCATGAAGATTCTTCATTATTTAATTTCTTTACATATAATACACATCTATAATATTTGTTGGCAACAATTTGAAAAGTGATACAAAGCTTTTAGCAATTCAATGCAAAATGCCGTTTCGAGACTAACAGCCCTTCTGGGCTGACGCCCTTTTGGGTAAAACAAAATAAGCATAAATTAACGAAAAAAAGTCTGAAAGCTTTCAGATTTTATACTTAAAAAGGGCCTTTTTTAACGTTTTATCTCTTACATTTATTTTTTAAATAACATGTTCTTCTGACTTAAACCTCAAAATGCAATTGAACAACAGTATCACAAAATATTTAAAAAGAGCATATCTTTAAGAATTTTTGATACAAAGTCCCGCGCGCTGAAGATTTTTTTTTTATTTAGTACAGTGTTGCCATCGTTCGCTTTGAAATCATTGTTAAAAAAATTCGTTAAAATTTTACGAAATATGAAATAGATAATAAAACAAATTCCAAATTTGGATTTTGGTTTATTATCTATTTCATTATTCTTTGAATTTATTTTATTATTATTTGAATAAAACAAATTCCAGATGTCATATTCGAGTGGATGACTACGTTATTCAAAATTTGATGTAACGTTGTTTTTTCACAGTGCGAGAAACATACATACATTCATGCAGATACTAATTCAGAAGTCAAACAACAAAAATCAGCGTTATATTTACAAAATTTGATTTTTGTTGTTTGACTTCTGAATTAGTATTTATTCGGCGTGTTATTGTGTCTTAATTCATGCAGATGCTTCATTATTTCATTTCTTTAAATGTAATACAGGGCTCTAATATTTTATGGCAAAAATTTGAAAAGTGAAACGCCTTTTCATAGTGGACGACGCAAAATGCGAAAACGAAATTAATTGCTCTTCTGGGTAAATTGCCCTTTTCGGATTAAAAATAAATAAATAAATAAATAAATAAAAATCTGAAATTTTTCAGATTTTAAATTACGTCCAAAGGGGCGTTTTTTAAACGTTTTGAGTGTTACCTTTAGGGATTAAATATCATGTTCTTTGCACTTAAACCATAAATTCAGTTCAGAGCAATATCGCAAAATAATGTTAAATTAAGCATATCTTTAGAATTTCCGATATACACAGTCTCGCGAGCTGGAGATAAAAGTATTTTTTTTTTCTATATAACGTTGCCATTTCTCGCTTTTAAAGCATTGAGTTTGTAAATCAAAAATTCGTTAAAGTTTTACAAAATATAAAATCTATAATAAAACAATTCCAAATTTGGGGGATTTCAGATGCCCATATTCGCAGTAGGATTTCGTCATTCAAAATTCGATGGCTCTATGTACCATTGTTTTATCACAATGCGAGAAATAGACAATCATTTATGAAGATTTTTCATTATTTAATTTCTTCAAATATAATGCAGGACTCTAACATTTTGTGGCAACAGTTTGAAAAGTGAACCGACGTTTATGAGTCCGACGCAAAATGCCAAACGAACGAAAGCAATATGTCCTTCGGGACTGAAATCCCTTGGACTAAAAAAAAAAAAAAAAAAAAAAAAAAAAAAAAAAAACTATTCGGAGATTAATGATTAAGGATAAGATGAAAAGGAATTAACATATAATAAGTAATTTGCATGTATTTTGCCTTTTCTTTTACTTCTTAAATAATGTGTCATTTATTGGAGGAGTTAAAACAATAAGAATCAGAACAGTAAAAATTGTTCATTTGCACTTCTAAGAAAAAGGTTCTTTATTCACAACTTCGAGAATTTGTCCTGTAAATTCATTGATATTACTGATATCTTCTGATTCTAATTTTGATTAACTCCTCCAACAATATTTATTCGGTCTGTTATTTTTACTCAAGTCTGAAGTATCCGGGTGTAATAATATTATCAAGAATAATTTAATTTTCCAAATAAGTTAGGAGAGGTACGAATTTTTTGAAGTAAATTAATAAGAACTTTTAAAATAGAGATGGAAGCTTATATCCCATTCACAACAACTTCTAATTATGAATGTTTAGAGAAAGAAATTAATGAAGCAACAAAAGGCACCATGTTGAAGCAAAGTGTTTTCAATTTTAACCTAAATTTAAGAATATGTAAAATTAAAAATTTAGGAAAAACTTCCAAAGCATTATACATTTACTTTATTAATTATAAGCTCCTTCCGTCAATCCCTCAGTAACATATTTGCAGCATTTTCTGAATAATTCAATGTCATATAATGATGTTTTTTTCTTTAGCAATATAAACGTAATGAAATAGATGAATTCTTGATCAGAAACATTATTTTTTAATTATTAATGAACATGGCTTTAGTTCTAGAAACTTATTTCGGTACGTTTTAAGTGTTCTCGAGGGTAGAACTAATTACTCCTAAAGGGCGAAAAATTAATCTTCTTTTTAAACAATATTTAGATATGTAATTACGTAGGATGCAAAATGGTTAAAGAAAACACTAACCTACATCTGCAAGAGCTAAAATGAAAATATTCTAATGGCAAAGTAGGTATACTCCCCCCAAAAAATGGAACAGTTTTATATATCCCATTCTACTGAACCGATTGATGAAATATAACTTGCGTTTTTCATGTCTCAAAAGCGAATATATATTAGATTTTTACACAGCGCCGTTCTGACATAGGTATTCTGACACAAAATCGGACTCTTTCGGAAACGACGTACCGATTTTTTTTTTATTTCCAGTCTACGACTCGCCTAAATATTAAATTTGTAAACTTTGGTCAGAAATTTACAAATTTATCTTGCCGCACTTTTTGCAGTTTGCGGGGAGAAAAATTCATTGGCGAAAGCCTTAATTTATGGTAACCTATTTTCCTTTCCTGTCATTGTGCATGAGCCGGAAATAAAGGTGCATCGTTCATTCTTTCAAATACCTTTAACAAAGTGCGTCAACCATATTTGGCATTATTATCGCTTATAATATATATGCCAAATTCCAAAACTTGCCAATATGTAAATTCATCTATATCTTAGGAAATTTTGAATAAAAATCCCTAATGGTTTGTAGATATGCTTAGAAATACATCTACTTTAAGATGATGATAAAACGTTTATAGGTCTTAATTCATATTTTTTTCGAAAAATTTGTAAAAATGATTTATAGGAACTTTTTTTTTTTTTTTTTTTTTTTTTTTTTTTTTTTTTCATTTTAGACGATCCGGAAAAAAAGACATCGTTCATACTTTCAAAGTAATTTTAAGAAAGTGCGTAAGCCTCATTTTGCATTATTATCTTTTATAACACATATGTTAAATTTCAAATCGCACAATATGTAAATTCACGCATATCTTAGGAAATCTGGAATAAAAAGCTCTAATATTTTGCAAGTATTCTTAGAAATACATCTACTTTTAAGATAGTGGCAAAAACGCTTTAGTTTATAATTCAAAAGTTTTTTCGAAAAAAAATTATAAAAACACTAAAAAATACAAATTCTAAAAAAAATCAGAAAATAATTCCGAATTATATTTGGTTTGACCCGAAATTCCGAACTCTGAAAGAGAAATTCAGTGAATTTAATAAAAAAGAGATATTAATAAATATATATGAAATTCAATTACTACTGAGGATTTCGACAGCTAATTTTTTAAAACTATTCATGCGATGCTAGAAACATTGAATAAACTCATTTAATTCTTATTTAATGGTAATAATTATTAATATTCTGGAGAAATTATTGATAATTCTACTTACATGATAAAGAGGGGTTTGATGGGAAGTATGATGCCTTGAATCACTGCTCAATGACCATGCAGCTACACCTGATATTAAAAAAAAAATTAACAGATTAGATAATTTAATCAATAAATATTCTCTAATTAAGTGCATATAATTTTAATAAAAATCTATTTTATTTTTCATCAAGAGTATGTTTTCGTACTGCTTAATCGAAACAATAATAAAAAATATGTCTTTGGCTTTTGGAAAAAATTATTTCTTAAAGAACTTGCTTTACATGTGATTCAAATTAGATATTTTTTTTTAATTTTTATTGAAAATAGAATTTGTATTTTTATATTTACTATTTTTATACAAACTTTCTCTCATTTAATTATCATTAGACAGATATTACCTACTTGAAGTTTATTCAAAGTATAAAAATTTAAACTACTTAATTCAGATTTTATGATGCTCGTAAATATTATCTATGCCATAGAGATAATAAAAATTTAATCATTTGTTTGAACTTTTATTTTACTAAATTTGTGAAAATACATGCATGCCATTTTTAAGTAAAAATAAAATTGATAATTTACATCGCATCGGTATGTTTGCAGATCAGTAGTGGTGTTTAGATCTGTAGAATTTGCCACGATATGGCGATTGCTGGTGGTTCGATTAGGTCGTAATAAGGTGCGTTAGGATATAAGGTATTTTTTCCCTCCTTCCAGCATGCCATAATGGTGTAATGGTAGCACACTCGGCGTCTATTCGAAAGGTCCAGGTTCGAGTACTGGCGAGGACATTGCTCGTTTTTCATGTCTGCTACTTCAAAATAATCTAATGACAGTGGCGCCGTAATTACAAGGAGGTGGACAATAATTCAGCACCACCAGGATTTAGCGACTTGGTCCACTAACCTCCAGTCGAACTTTAAAATGGGGAGTATATAAGTTATTTCTCCCTTCTTCCAGCATGCCTTCGTGGTGTAATGGCTGCGCACTCGGTCCAGGTCCAGGTTCGAGTACCAGCGAGGGCATTGCTCATTTTTCATGTCTTCTGCTTCGAAATAACCTATGACTCTGCAAAGTTGTTGAAATATGGCAAAGTATACGAGGGTTGTCTACCTTATGGAATAGATGCCTTCGAAGTGGATTTTTTATAAGTAACTGACTCAGATTGACGTTAGACATGGAGGAAAAAACAAAAACCCACCATGGAACCAGCCCTTTGTCTTGGTCATAAACATTCGGCCATTGTTAGCGAGAGAAATAAAAGAAAAATTAAAGCATAATATTCATAATACCAAGCATAGCATTCTTAATTTAAAGCAAATTTCGTTTAGGATATGGTAAACGAAACAGCACTGCTCATTCCTTCCCACTGTAGATTGCTGCAGTAGGAACAAAATCTGTGCTGTATATAGATAGAAGTTTTGCATTTATCTACAAAGTCAAAAATGAAGCGCAAAATGTTTAAGTGCATCTCTTAAAAGATTGTAGGATTCCCCTCTGTGTAATTAAGTTAGTGTTGGAAGTGAAGAATCTTAAGAACTGATAAGGGAATAATTACTTGAGTTTGTGTGACAGGAAACAACAAGATAGAAGGATAAAATAACCCTTTATTATTCCAACTAAAGTTTAACAGAACTCCTTCTTGGAGTGTACAATAAAAGCCGACACTTGGGCTTGAACGTAAGAAACTAAGAATTAAACTAAACTAATCTTAACTAAAGAGATACAACCGAAGCTATCAAAATTCTAAACGAGTTGGCCCCTTAACGTTAATAGGCTGCGAAGCTATCAAGGGCCAAGCGTAATAATAGCTTACGAGAGAGTAGCCTAAAAAGGCGGACACGTGCAGCTAGAATATCTGGTATCTGTCTCACTAAGACTGTAGAACTTCGCGGTTATATGCTGCTCTTCCTCGTTATTATTCAGACGTGATTCTAAAACTACTTTCTGACCAGAAGCGGTAAGTTGAAGTAAGAATCGATAGGAAAAAAAGTTTAACTCAAAATTTAACTGTTAATAAAATTAGCATAATCCTTAGAAGGTATATTTTTTTGTCATTGTAATAATAAATGTTCAAAAGGTCAACTAAAATGAAAACAATTATCGATGTTTTATATGGAGATTTTAACACATGGCAAAATTTGCTTATTTCATGTTAATTAAATAAAATGACGCCCAAAGGTGCGTTTTTTTCACGGGATTTGAAAAGTGATACAAACATTCAAAATCATTCGACACAAAACAACGTTAGACATTGTAACGTCTTTGCGTTGCTACGCTACCAACATAATATTAGTAAGTAATGTAAAGAAACCTCGCGCTTAGAATATCCGTGCTTGAAGATACATGCGATGTTAAGGTTAATGGAACGCTTTGAATTGTTGAGTCTGTTAATCAAAAATTCGTTAACGTTCTGCAAAATATGAAATACATAATAAAAAAAATTTCAAATTCCGGCTTCCAGATGCCCATATTCGACTGGAAGACTACGTTATTCAAAATTGCATGTATGTAGCTACCGTTGTTTTATCACTATGCAAAAAATATACATACATTCATGCAGATTGCTCATTATTTAATTTCTTTAAATATAATGCAGGACTCTAATATTTGGTGGCAACAATATGAAAAGCAAAATTCGATTTTATAGTGAACCGACGCAAAATACCAAATCGAAATTAATAGCCCTTCTTCTTCCCTTTTTTTAGCCCTTTGGGCTAAATTAAAGTTTTTTTTTTTTTTTTTTTTTTTTTTTAGCTCTGGGCTAAAAACAACTCTAAGCAAGCTTTTTGAGAGAATTCGGATTTCCAGCCTAAACATTCTTGAGTGGGACACCTGTCTTAAAGTTTAAAAGTCAGACAATGTTAAAATTATACTCTTTTTATTTAATCATTTGATGAAAATAGTGAATGTACAAAATTTTTTATATACGTCTTCTAGGAAAAGACTGAAATAAAATCGATAAAAACGTTGATCCGAAGATTCATTTGTATACAACAGAGGAATAGACAACAGAGAAATTAAAACTGACATTGTCTGAAATAAAATAAATATTTTAGCCTTAAATTATTAAATCAAAATATTCTAATGATACAGCTAAACATAAATTTTCAGAGTTTTGGAAAACTCATCAAAAGATAACAATATAGCAGATGTGTTTACTTTGATACCTTTGAAGTTAGTTTGAAACGGAGCTCGTGATTTCTATTTCTTTTTAAGGCTCTTCGGATATTTTCTTGATTCTTCGATTCCAATTTTCAAGATTTTCGATTTGTTCAGTTATATATGTATATTAATAATAACATTAATAGAAAATATGTCTTCCTTTGGCAGAAATGACTTCTAGAATGCGCTTAGGCATTTACTATATTAGCACTACATATATTTTGTATTTCATTATCATGGAAGCACACTTTTATAGCGTTCTTAATCATGCACTGTTTTGTCGTGCAATCCATTTCGCTAACATGTTTTTTGAGAATGTGGCACAAAATTTCAATCAGATTTATATCTGGTAAATTTCCAGGCCAATCGAGTACGATAATTTTACTTTCCAACATGAACCTTCTAACAGATTTCTATTTGGGGCATGGAGTCAAGTCATGCTGAAATGTCCCTGGAAAGGTTTTTGAAAATAGCACATCCCTATGTTCTAAAACTTTTATATCTTTGATGAATTCACCACTGCGTCAATCGGAACTAGATTTTCAGTGCCATCTGCAGTGAGAAAATCGCTCAAAACATTTGCTTTTCAGAGTATTTTATAGTTTGTCGGATATAGTGAGGTCTTATCGCTTCACCCTAACACACCTTCGTCTAACAGCGTTATATGTGTAACCTAACCATGAACAAATAAATGAGTTTCATTTCTGAAAATGACATCTTTCGAGTCATTTGTGGACCGAGAATTGTATTTTTTTACTTGCAATAATCGCTTTGCTTTATTCCATGTGTGAGAAATCGTTTTGTAATAAGCTTTCTCGCCTTCCGACTAGCGGTGAAATGTCTACGCTGTACGTTTGAAAGATGGATGTCAATACCAATAGCCAACAGATTTCTTTTAAGGTCTTTGTTAGTTTCTATTGGATTTAATAAGGCCATTTCGTAGTAGGAATTGATAAGGCTTTGGAACTGTTTTCATTTTCCTTCAAACAGATTTCAATTTGGGGCATGAAGTCAACTCATGCTGAAATGTCCCTGCAAAGGTTTTTGAAAATAGCACAGCCCTATGTCTAAAATTTTTATATCTTTGATGAGTTTTTAAAATCTAGTAGGTCTTTTGAGTATTTTATACTTTCTAGACGTTAAAGTATTTCTGCCTTAACGCCTTTCTAAGTGTTAAATCCATTTTTAGTATACTAAAATAAGCGATGCAGAATGCATTTATATATATGCAAAATTTCCTCTTCTTACAGAAACAAGCTTAAAGAAGATGGTGCAATAATCCTAATTTACTGTCTAAAGCAATTCTATGTGATCAAGGACAGACATCCTGATGATCTCTTCAAAGCTGATTAAACTGCATTGAGGGTTCTACTGGTGACAACTTGCAACCAAATTAAAATTCTATGGAAAAGAAACCTATGCCCCAACAATTTGCACACGGTATAATATATATTTACTAAAGAAATATTGATTATATTTTCTCCTAATATAAATTTAGTAGAATGTATCCAGAAAGAGTGAAACCATATGTAGGAAGCTTAATTCCGAAAACTGTGTTTTAAAGTAACTTGGATGTAAATTATGATCAAAGTTACTTTAAAACACAGTTTTCGGAATTAAGCTTCCTACATATGGTTTCACTCTTTCTGGATACATTCTACTAATTTATATTAGGAGAAATATAATCAATATTTCTAGTAAGAAAATTATATATATATATATATATAGATAGATGGTTGTGTGTGTATAAAGTACTAAAATTAAAATAAAAATAAGCTGAAATTATATATACGTAAAAAAACGAGAAGAAAATTTAAAAACTAGGAATTTTCAATTTATTCAAAAGCGTAAAAGGTATTTCCTCTATAAATTATTAATATATTTAGTTAATATATATATCGAAATAGAAATTGAAAAGCTAA